TGGGTGACTGTCGCGTAACAATTTTTGCGTCCAAAGAAAATTCTTTCAGCACAAAATCGGTCGTGTAGTCATGTCTTAACTCCTCTGTTTAACTTAAAAGGAGCTGCATGGTCATATCCATCATACTCGAATGGTACCAACTTTTACATACCCTTTTTTTGACACCTGCTACGCAGGCCAACTTTTCCACAAAAAACTGGTCATTTTTCCCACTACTCTTCTCACTAATGAAGGTGCATTTTGCATCAGCCAGGTAACAGAAAACAAACAAAAAAACAAACGGAACGGAACGTTCTTCGAGTATGGTGATTATGGCACTTCCTTCTGAATAGTTTGCTTTGCTTACCGTACAATGAAATTCGTCAAAACAGGTTTATTTCAGAATTTTTGTTATATTTTTGTGTTACTTTTATGTTGAGTAAAGACTGAAGTTGTCACTTGTATGAGCTAAACCACATTCGGTTTTTCCTTGCATTTATGATTACCCGAATAACTGGTTATTCACCATTTGCACCGAGACCATAGTGGACCTTGTTTGCCCCCTCCCCCACCCCCCAAATTTATTATAACCATTGTTCCTGATTTCTGCTTGGTATTACAGTCGCCCTAAGAGAAATCGAAGACAATATTTATTCCAAATTTCGGAGGGTAAACAAGGTGCATTATGGTCTCGGTGAAAATGGTTTATGGAATAAAGTAAGTTGCGACATTGTTCACTTTCTTCCACTGCTTTGTGTACATACCCTTGCCAAGCATGTCTCAACAACGCAGGACACAAATTTCTACCTTTTACGTGTTTTGTTCCAGTCCAAAGAGCTTGAAGGCCCCCACACATGTGAGAGTTGAGAATTACTTTCGGCTGAAAAATCACCATGGCTCTCACAGGCTCGGAGGGCCACGAGATTATGAAGTAATTATGAAATAAATGATGACTTCAAGGATGTCTTCTGCATAGTTATTTTTGTGTTTGGTCATAAAAGCATTTTCTAGATATCGCTACCCTTAACCCTTTAAGGCCCTCATTATTAAAATTCAGGGGCGGATGCATGATATTCAGAAGGAAGTGGCCATTTCACTTACCAATTGCTGTTTAAAAAAAAAGGTGCTGATTTTTAAGCTCGATGAATCTCTATACGTGGATAGAGCGCCCACCCTGTGATCGAAAGGCCATGGGTTCGAATCCTCTCGGGGTAACAAGATTTATTTTTTGTCCCTCACTCGTGACGTTATCACTTCTTTCATATACACTCATGCTGGCTCGCCTGGTCTGCCTTTTAGGCTCCTGACTCATGCGCTCAGCAGGTATGCCCATTTGTTGGAACAATAGAAAGGGTCTAGAACGTTTTTGCAAGAGTAAACAAGTTTAATCCCCCCCAAATTTTTTACACCAATATGGCCGCTTTTCAATCGCCTGTTTGTGCACCAACATGGCCGCCATAACGTCATTTGACAAATACAGTTGACTCTCGATAACTCGAACCAATGTCGATTTCCCCTGGATTTCGTTCTTACATTTACTGTAATTTTCCCCCCGGTAACTCGAACCCCCGTTAACTCGAACCTCCCGCTAACTCGAAGTAATTTTTGTTTCCCTTCAGATCATTTCTCCACAATTCCACCCTCGATAACTCGAACCATGTTATAAGCGCGTGACAAGTCGGGAAAAAAACCGTGTACTGAAGTTCGAAACGTTGAATATATTTCAAAGAATCGTGTCAATTCTTGTTCTTTACTATTTTTTCACTCCAGGTCAAATTCAGTGTCCATTCCCGTTTACTTTGTTGCTTAATTGCATTCCCTCCCCATCGATTTGCTTATTTCCTTACTTCTAGTGATTTGCTTCAAACTCCCGATAAGTCGAACTTTTTTCGATTTCCCTTGAAGGTTCGAGTTATCGGGAGTCCACTGTAATGATATCCGAGAAAAAGAGCCCCCCCGCACCCCTCTAAATCCCAATACCAATATTCACACCTTCCGAGGAAGCTGTGTCGGCCTTCGGCCAACACCAAAAATTCCGGTTCCGCCACACGCGAAAAAAACCTCTGGTACCCAGGGTAACTCTCCTTACGTTTTGTCGACAGCTCGTCGTTTATGATGGTCGTTTTCGTTATTCTTATGACATTTATGTTAGATGAGACGGTCGTATGCAATATTTGTCACTATTACCACTACTGCGGTTCAGCGGGTATTTTAAAAACGGTGCCAGGGGCCGCGCGAAGCCGAGGGACCCCAGGGTGTCTTCCGCTACAAAGCACACATGATTCACAGTCTTTGAATCACGATATCTCGGCTGTCTTGTATCCAACGTTTTGCAAAAACCATCATTTGTATTGGTTGGAGATTTCTTCGCATTGAAGTATTTCGTCAGCGGTTGTAGCTGGGTTAAACTTCAACTTATATAAACAACATGTTCGGTCCTTCTCACCGCGTGACTCATCTACGCGGGGATTTTGCAGGCCTACAAGCTCACTACTCATCCAAAACATGCTACTTCTACTATAAAAACACGGTACAGCAGGGATGTCAACAAGTCAGCTGGTAAGTAAAGTATACTGTGGCTGAGCAAGGCCACTTGCGACTTTTGAGCACCGAGTTCAGTGTCAGTGCCAACTTTCTAAATGTGGCCAATGATCTGTTGAAAACGTAACTGATCAATTTTTATGCCTCAAGATAATATTAGTTTATACACTCAAATAAAAGTGGGGCGAGGTTTGGACAAGTTTGATATCGTGAAAAAAGAAGGAGAAACGAAGTGTGAACTTCTGTTCAACAGTTCAGTCCCTGGTTCGAGTTCTGTGTAGTGGGTCTCGTTAAAATGACTGAATTCCTCACTTAGTTTCCCTGCTAGAGTCTCTCTCCTTTCTCTCATTTTTGCCTCGTCGTGAGAGACCTCTGCTGGCAGGGAATCACTTAGTCCTATATATAGTGAACAATATTCTTCATCTTATAATAGTAGAATGTATGGACGAGAATTACGCTCGTTATAGCGAATATATTTTGCCAGATCCTTGGTCCTTCGTTATGTGGTGTTACATATCCCAGAAGGTCTCACTGTAGAAGTGTTCGTTCATAGGTCTGACTCAGTCACGCCTTCCCCAAACGTTTTTGAGTCTTTCCAAAACCGTATTTTGAGTCTTTCGCAAACGTTTTTTTTACAAATATGATTAATTTAGAGTCCTTCCTCGTTGTATAATATAACTGGAGGTTCCAGTTAGGTCTTTCGTATTGACGGGTTGTATTTGTTTCATAAAATTGCTTTTATTCCGATGGTCGATACTGCGTGACAAAAAGTGCAAAATGTTTTTTTTTCCTCTCCCTCTTTCTTAGCTTTAAGGTTTCTTTGGAGTGCTTTTGTTCATTAATTACAGCATGGAGAGAGTATTAAGTTTTATGGAAAAATTTCCCTATCTAGGTGCTTTTGAAATTCTTCTCGTCTTTCTTTGAAATCCGCCTGCTTGAGAAGAATTTGTTTGGAGTGGTCCGAGTGCTTGATCCCTAGAAGGTGGCAAGGTGACGGCAAGTGTGTTATAGCTTCATCTTTTTGTGGTCCCACGTCACCAACTGGCATACTATGAAATCTCTCCCGTTTGTACGCAACCGTATCGAGAAATCAGACTGGAGATTTGGTTTTCAGAGATTTCCGCTGTGAATTTAATAGTAGGCTGGCCTCAGTTTTTCAAAACGGTGGATAACGCTATCGACTGCCGAAATGAATCACCACCCAGTGGATAACCCAACAATTATCCGCTGTTAGCGCTATCCAGTATTTGAACAACCGTGGCTTGGTGATCATCTGCTTTTATTGTAAAAGTACTGAGATTTACTCACAGAATAACAGAGTAGAAAATATCGTTCTGTTTTTAGTCACAGCCAATCAGCGAAGCGAACGGTGAACTTTCACTAGTGAAAAATTATCGTTCGCGGCGTCTGATTGGACGAAGGATGTTTTTTGGGTATAAAAATCGTACAAACTCACCAGCCATGAGGTAATTAATCTCTATGTTGGCAATATGCTGTGTTCAAGTGATTCACTCTCTTGGGCCACGCTTACACAGCACCGGACAAATCTTCCATCGGACACTTTGTTCATACGGGACTGTTCAATATTTTCGCTATGTTCACACGGATCTTTGAGCGGTGGTTCCGTGTGAATGGAACACCTTAATGTACGAATTTTCAACGGGTCCAGTGCGTAGCCTTGTGGTCGCCTATAAAAAAAAACGTCTGCATTTTCGAAGGGAGCCAGATGTCAGCTTCAATACAACAGATACGCGGAAATGTTTCAGCCAGCATGCATGTTGTTCCTTTCTTCGCCTTTCTGTAGATTTCTGTGGTTTTCTTCATAAATTGAAGCCTGAGATCAGATCATTCTATACTGACCATACTGATGAAGTGGTACCCGGTTGAAATCAAAGCAATTCTCTTTCGTTGCTGTGTGGTCACGTGGTGACGCTTTAACTGCCCACAGAATATCTACGGCCGTCGATAAAACCCGGAACACGGAACATTCCGGAACATGCCGGAACATTCCGGAACATACCGGAACATCCCGGAACATGAAAAAATAAAAATAATTTTCATGAAAAAAAATATAATAAAATAATAATAATAAAATAATTTTTGTAAAAATTAATAATAACGTAAAATAACAAAAGAAAAACGAAAAATAATCAATTAATCAAGAAAAAGAAACTGATATCCTCTGTGAGTATGAGAAAACAATATTTTGTCGCAACAAATTAAAATTTGTTGGGCGAGTGAAGGTCCATGCAAATGACAGTAAAGAGTGAAGGTTTGCTTCTAAATTCAAAATATATTAAAATGGGTCGCGAGGAGGGGGGTTTTTTAAGCTTTCCTCACACAGTTACCTCTTGTAATTGTTTGCCGTGAGTTAATTATTTGGCGGTTATCCATTTACGGTTCTGCAATGGTCTGAAATGTCGGTGCAGTATTTCATGTCAAGCCAAGTCGGTAAGTAGCTCATTTCAAGCCAACATATAGTCTCCTTATTTATAACCAACATTTGCTTACTTGAGCTGCTTTGCTTTCTTTGAACATGAATTACTTGCAGACTAGGCGGCTCTGTGAACTTAAGAAGAGTATAGGGGCTCCTGTCTTTGGATTTTAGTGGACAATACTCACATTCGTAGTAGTTTCTATACTGTTTACAGTCAGCATGATATTTCAGACGTCTCCTCTAGTCGCAGGACGAGTTTGCGGGGAGACGGCTAAAATTCAGGCTAACTGATAACAGTTAGAAACTACCTGCGCTACCACTGCCACTGCAACTATTCACGGTGAATCTGAATCTTTAATTTTATTATCCAAGTCCAAAGCGACAAGCCCCTAAGCTCTTGTCGCAAAGCCGTAAATGGATAACCGTTAAACCACATGGCAAACCTTTACAAGAGGTGGCTGTGTGACGAAAGCCTGAAAACCCTCTCCTCGCGACCCATTTTAATATATTTTGAATTAAGAAGCAAGCCTTCACTCATTAGGGTGACCAGGGTGAGTAGGATGACTGGGGACTGTCATTTGAATGGACCCTTACTCGCCCACTGCAAAAAATTTATTGCAACAAAACATTGTTTTCTCATACTCGGAGATGATACCAGTTTCTTTTTCTTTCATTCTTGGTTTGTTTCTTTATTTTTCGTTTTTATGTTATGTTATGTTATTTATTTTGTTATTATAAATTTTTGCAAAAATTGTTTTCTATCTATTGTTCCTTTTATTATTATTTATTATTATTATTATTATTTTGTTAATTAATCATTTTTTCATTAAAAAATATTTCAATTTTTTCATGTTCCGGGATGTTCCGGGATGTTCCGGAATGTTCCGGAATGTTCCGGGATGTTCCATGTTCCGGGTTTTATCGACGGCCAATATCTACTGCAATCTTGGCCACATGGATCTTTTTCAAACTAGCGGCCATTTAGAACTAAAGTAGCTTCATTAAAATTTGGCCACCCTCACTCCCCCCGCCTCCTCCAAGAAAAAAATAATTTCGGGGAGAATGAGCACTGGCTCACTTTTTCGGTTGGTAGTCTAGTCTACCCAGAACTGAGAATCCTTCTGATTCTGCGCCTAAAATCGAGAAGTGCCTTGCTCTTCATGCAACTGCTCTTCTCTTTATAACGGCAGAATTAGTTGCACAGAAACAAAATACGTTCTAAATTCCGCTTTTGAAACGATTTGAAATTAAAATGACTTTCTTTTTGTTTGTGTTGTGTGTTTTACAGCCAGTTCGCTTGCAGAGCCATTTCGAAGCCATTTTGGAGAGTTTTTAGTCTGATTTCGAGTGGCTTCCAAATGGCTCTTACTAGAAGCGAGCTGACTGTTAAACACGCTACACAAACAAAAGGTGAGTCATTTTTATTTCGAATCTTTTCAAAAAGCGGAATTTAGAACGTATTTAGTTTGTTTTCATACATTCACTTATAAAATTCAAATTTCAACGATTTCCCATAAAGCCTGGGCTGCCTGTGACTACACCTTCCACGTAAAAGTCTTCAAGTTCTATTACCAGTCCCCTTCTTTTTTCCCTGTTCCCCTGCTTTTGTCAATTTTCTTCGTGAACTGGAATCTACAAATATTACCAGTGCCAGATCCAGACCTTGAGTTAAGAGGGAGGGAAGGGAGGGGGGCGGTCATCCAGACTTTTAGAAAAGGAGGGCGGGCCAGTCTCCAAAAAAAAAATGTTTTTCGGCCCTTCGGGCTCGTGGATCCGCCACTGAATACTTTCCAGATATTTAGGCTGATAAGTGACACTTATTTTCTGTCCTTTTTTGTTTCAGATATTCCCTACCAGTTTATTCGCTATAAAATGTTTTCTCAGGTGAGTATTTGTTTGTTTTATGTGTGCTCGTGTTTTGTTTCAATTAATCCTTCGGCAGCTGTATCATTATCTAAATTTCGTAAAATTAATCTTGATGCTAAAAAAAGGACGGTCAAGAAACTTCATGCAAATTTTCTCTACTACTTCCCGCTAAACGGTTTCAAAATTGCAACGTTTTAAGCTAAAAAATAATAAGCTCCTATAAACATAAAACGACATTGTGTTGCACATAAGTCTTTCTTATTGCAAATTTTGTTTGTATAGAAACTCTCTTGAATACTAAAATGATTTTGACGCTTTATTGATAACCAGGAATCTAAAAAGAATTTTATGTAGTGGCTACGATACAGATAGCAATGGGTAATTATTACGCATTGTGCAATAAGCGAGATAATTTTTATAGATTGTCTGATACCAGTAGGCGGTTTTCTTGGGTTGATTTGACAAAAGTTGTTAATTTGTGAAACGTGAAGCAAATATATGATTTGAAACCTCGTATCAGGGTGAATCAATTTTGTAACAACAAAAGGAAATATATTAGATGTTTTATCAGAATCGACTTGAAAATAAATACAAGAACTTGTTGAGATCGGAAACCTCCATGGCCAGTTTAATTAAGTTTCTCTCAAAGACAATTCTGTGTTTTTTTAATTCAAAACTGGCAATTCTCACCTGCATCTGAAGGCTGTTGATTGAAAGAAGGAAACGCGGGCTGTCTGAACAATTATTTATGGATAGAAAAGGAAAATAACGCCAGCCATATCGTACAATCACGTCGCTGGAATTCATAATGTTTGATCAGAGCTTCACATATCGACGTTTAAGAGACAGAGAGAAAAACATGTGTTTGACGGGTCTGAGAATGAAGGGTTCTTCAAAGGCAAAAAAGGTTTCGGGCTATGTATTGACCTGTTCGCTACACCTTCGCTGCTTTTTTCGAAAGTATGGATTATGGTCTATTGACAGAGCTTAATTTTGCCTAGTCTTAATTTTTTGTTCCCTTCGCGGAGGAAATCTACCGTTAATATTTTTTAAACTTTTAATTAGTGCTACATCATAGCTTTCGCTGTTGCATATCGTAGAACAAATAATTAAATACTGCCAGTTCAAATAGCTGACAGAGATGTGCAAAAAGTGACAAAGCTCTGGGTTAAGACAAATGATGTTTGATTTTGCTTTGCTTCGCTCGAGTCTTTAGTTTTTACTACAGCAGAAAGGCAAAAACCTTTAATGGAACTTTCTCAAGTTCGAGAGCGGTTGTATTTGTTGATTAATGTCAAATCTCGCTGGAGAAAAGGGCGCGGACTTAACGTTGTTTTGTTTGCTTTGACTTTTATACATATAGATACCTAACATTATTGTGAACAAACCGTGGGGTAATAACTGTTATTTTTTGGCTCCATTTGCGGGGAATTTTTCTGTTTTACTTCGAAGATTACAACGGAAGACCTACAGACGGCCATAAACAGCAGATTTGTTTTTATCAACCTTCTTCGCCCTTCCTGAGGATGAACTCATGACAGTACCGAAAAAAAATATGCTTCTGCTAAAAGTTGAGCATAAAAAATGAACTAAAATCTGACACGTGATATATTTTATTGTATATTTGATCGCTGCATTAGTGGAATTGTAGAAATTTTATTCAACGAAGATCGCTTTAAAATTTCGTTGCAGTACAGATTGAAAGCGGTTCTTCCTTTTCGTTTTAGCTTTTAGGTGGCCTGGGGCCGGTTTCTCGAAAGTCCCGCGGTATTACGTTTCGGGCCCGAAAAGCTGTTTTATATTTGTCTTGTTGGTATTCAATATCAAAGTTTCAATAATTTTGAAAATGATACAATGAAGCTATCAGTTAACGAAGCAAAATTGAGTGGTTTGAGAGATAGGAACTGTGCAACTTCTCAACAGGTTTGGAGTTTAAAATACGGTTGCCTTCGGGTCCGAAAAGTTACCGGGCCTTTCGAGAAAAGGGCCCTTGGCGTAATGTTGATAAAGTGTACGAAACAGATTAGAAAAACAGCGCATTTAGCAGTAAATTCAATTGCGACCTACTGTACATTTCGCCCAATGTATCGATCTTTTAAGACGAGATTAAAACGACTTATCGAAAGTGTGCTTTTCAATTTGCCGTGCACATAGTTTTCAGTTGAAAGTAATAAAATCATAAGGGCACTCGCTTGCGAGCAAATAATGTGTATTTAGCACTACGATATTGATCACAAAGCGCCAATTGACTATTGCTCTATTTCTTCGTCTTCTAACAGTCCCGGCACAGCATGTGATTAAGTTTCGCAGGTGGACTTGATTGTGTAAATGTTCCTTCTTTTTCAGACATACTCATTGTCGTGGCAGCCAATCACGCTTCGTAAAGAGTTTCTCCAAAATTAACATAAAACAGCCATGTAAGGCTCAAATGAGTAAACTGAAATAATTGGAGCACAAGGCAAGATGCGCTAAACGAAATACATTGAGCCCTGATCATTTAAGGTTTTATGGGTTGAAAGTGTTAAAATGCTGCGTCTATAGCTCGAAATGAAGAAAAACCTTGGTTCTACGAGGGTTTCCCCTTCAACTGTTAAATGGAGTGAGGAAGTTGAACGCGCCGAGAGCGCCGGTAGGAAGAATATCGCTGTTATAGAGTTGGGTGAAAACTCGGAAGCTAGTTCCGTCCAGACCTTTAATACTGGAAACAGTTCTGCTCGCAGTCTCAATAGGAGCGTGTCGCAGTCAACCAAGATTAGTACTTCGAATGTGAAAGTTGCGTTTGCCAAAGATAATCCCCGGAACGATACACAAACCAGTAAAATACAACTCTTATTGTCATCAATAAGGCGAATTTTTTGTTTGCCTTCCTGCTTCAAGATAGAGTTTACATCTCGCCAACTGGAGAGCATTTATCAGCGTTATTACTGCCGACAGAAGCTAGATAGAATTTTGTATATAATTTGCCTGGATTTTATCGTGAACTTAAGCCTTATTGCAATGTACGCGGCTGCTGTGTTCAGGAAGTCAACTTTAACACAAGTCAACCGGCTTATTGTAACTTGTATATTCTGTGCGTTCAATCTTATTCTTATAATTCTATACCGTTTAAAACTTTTTCCTCCGAGAATTTTCTGCAGGTTGCCTTATATAGTATGGTTCACGGTCTTTTTTCAATTACAAGTGGATTTAGCCGTGGGTTATGATCCGTTAGTACCGAGTGACTCGATTGGCATGTTCGTTTTCTTCATGTTTATAACCAATGTTATTCTGCCAGCAAGTCTTGCTTTGTGTACATCTCTAGCCCTTCTGGCGGGTATTGGACATATAATCATTACCAGCATCTTGGCTAAAGAAAATCGGGAATATTTTGCATATCAGGTAAGCTTTTTCTTCTTTTTTAATGTATCTTAGGTAAGGCAATTTCAACAAAAAACACACTTATTTCCGGAGTTGTTATTTTTATACACAAGCCCTTTAGAGATCCTCTTTCTAATAGTGGCGAAAGTCATATCTCAACCAAAGATTTATTTGCCATAATCAGTCCTGGTTTCTTCACCTTATAACGTAATCGCTAAGACGACTCTAAACAGCTAGCCTTTTTTCAAACGTTTACGTCAGTCTTTCGCTAATTATCGAATGATTATCAGTCCTTCCCAAATATACAGATTTTGACTATCTGTTTTGGTTTTGAGTTGAGTCATGACCGATATATCAAAAACAAATCATTTTGTCTAATACTTTTCAGTAACAGAAGCTTTAAACGAATTTTCGAATCATTTTTTTCCGCTCTGGGGAAATTTTAAATATCAGTTCGTTTTTACTCGAACATCGAAATTTTTTTCAAGATCACCCGCAAAAGAGCATTCCCTTAAACTGTATTTCTAAAATAGGGAAGAACGTTTGAAGACGCATGAAACCGCAAAACAAAACCTGTCCAGAGTTATTCTTTTGAAGGGGGCTTCTCACTTAATATTAATGATGTACTGTTCAAGGTTTGAAATATTTACACTGTTGAAATCCTCAAAGTTAGCGACATTATGCAACACTTTTATTAATGTAAATAAAAAACATCCTGTATTTCACAAAAGCGTTCGCCTCTTCCACAAAGTAAATCTGATTCTTGTTTTCAGGCTAGCTTGCATCAGTTCGCTTTTTTGGCGTTCTCAGGTCGGTCTATCGAAATAGTCTCCGCCTTCTCGCATATCAAGCCACAGATACTGCTTAGTTTGTTAAATTCAAGCACATCAATACATCAATTCGCTCAACAACGTCCAAATTCGATGTTAGCCACTTAATTTTATATACAAAGAAATTTTGGATATCGTGCGTGCTTCCAAATTTGACTACAATCCTCCGGAACATTACGTTTGAATGCATGTAGCAACCGGTAGACGAAAATAGAGCACAATAGGTTAATTTTGCGGTTTCGCATAATATATGCAAGTGGGGTATAAATGGTTCATTTTCGTTTCCCTGGCAACTGAGACAACATGCAATTATTCTTAAATGGAAGAAGAGCTTTTTTTTCCCTGAAAAAGATACGCATTTAGTACTTCGAGGACTAAAAGGCAATAATTTGTCGCTGTCGTGGGCCTAACCTCTGAACTTTCAGCCAAGAAATAAGGCAACAGATTTGCTGTATTCATTTGGCTGTTTATCTTAATTTTCTGTGAAATTTTGATGAATATCTCTTCGAGGTTGATTGTATTTACTTAATCTATGATGTATGTTCTGCATGTCGCTCGTAGTTGCAGCTTACTGCGTCATTTGCATGCATTAGTCAATCGTGCGCCATTAGTAGTGTAGATTAAAAATGACAACATACACGAACAGGAATATAAAGGTGTTTGAATAAAGAACTAAATTCTAACGGCATTTACGTAGGATTCTCGTGCACAATTTCGGCCTTAGATTCCCCTGTAACATTTAGAGCCATTTTTTCGTACAAATTTTCGTGCACATATTCTGATCATGATCTCTTTTGTCTTTCGTCTTTAGTTTATTCTGCCACCCTTCCATGAATACTTGCGTTTCCTGTCAAACCAGAAACTAAAGGATTCTAGTTTCAGTTGATCAATGAAAAATTGTATTTTTTTTCACTGACCTATTTGATGCTGTGTTTTATCGATTAGCGAAAAATTTTTATTAATATCCTTTATATTCATTTTCTTGCATCATGTCAACAAGGATGTTTGATCCCTTATAAGATCTGTTTGAAGCAATTTTATTGCGATCTACAAGAGTCAGATAATATTATGTAATCATCAACATGATCCGTTATTACAGTTTATTCAAACTGTTTTAACGCGCCCTTTTTATAAAGTTAACTTCCATTTCGTCCTCTCCAATAGCATACATTTTGGGCAACACTTGCCCCCTGGCCCATGGCTTTGAAGAATTAAAACGTCTCATTTTCAGATTCAAAATTTGAGGGCTGCACGTGAAGCAGACCCTCAATGAGATAAAAATTGAATTTAAGAGATGGCAATGGCAGCACCGCCGTTGGAGTTTCTTTTTCTCGGCTCTATTTTCTGTTCAAAAGGGGTTAAATAAAAGAACTTTGAAAAAATTTAAATGCTGAATAAGAGTCTTGAATATTTGCAACTAACGACCAAGGCGGAAACCCAAAGAAAAACGTTGCATTCATAAAAAGAATTCGCATTCTTTTAATCCACGTTTTACTTTTTCACGTTGTTTAATTCAACTTTTGAGGTGTTCAGAAGCAAAATCTGTTATAGGTTGGAAGTTCAAATAGGGGAGATGCAAATTGACTTGCAGTCGCCGTACTCAAGTACTTACATTTGACCATTGAAAGTTTCTGTTACCCTTATAAGGAGACACAGAGGTACCAAAATACTATACGTGCATGTAGAAGCATTCTAGGACTTGCCCAAAAAGACGAGCTACATAAACCAAGAGGGCACTGAGCATGAAAACGTATGCGATCGAAGCGAAAAAACCGAGGGCCAATTGCAGGGAAGGACTCGGGATGAGTGAAAGCTTGGTCTTCGGGATATTCTATAACTGAAAGGTCTTCAAGCTGTTTCAAAAATGTCTCAGACATTGTTGCTGATAAAACCTATGTCTATATCGTTTCTTTCTGCAGTTATTCGCATATGGTCTTAAGTTTTCTTTAAACAGTAAATGCGTGCGATCGATTGATGTCTAATCCCTAAACAGAGCATTGAGAAGGATTAATGACTGATCCTTTCCTTTGTGAGGTCGTGGAGTTACACGTGCGCACGAATGCTTCGTACATCTCAGCATTGTATTTTAGCCAGGGTGGCAGATGCGAACGTGATCTGACATACGATCGCCGCTAGATTTAACTTCAGTTACATATTCTTATTCGAGAATACGGCGAAATCAAGTTAAAGTCACGTTTTTGCCTTGGATACGCCACAGAACTTACAATTACGTTATTTAAATTTTTATGACAGCAGTACTATATTTTTTTCTTTCTCATTCTTAAGTGAGATAAGATATGACGTAAATTATTAAAACATTTATTGTCCTGCAGTTATTTCGCGTTTATTTTCATTTTACCAAAATGCAAAACATCTTTGTCATTATTAACTTGGGCCGCGTGGTAGTTTTCTTTTCAAACAGTGCTGACCAAGTTCAAATCTCAAATCTACTGCACGAACCACGAAAATGACGAAAATCGCTCCAAAATGACCACTTAACATGTCGCTTAAGGTTTTGCCATGACGCTGCGTTCACTTTGCAGATTAATAGCTGAAAGATCTCTAGGAAACAAGGATATGATTTAGAATTTATGATAAGAACGGTTAAAATATGTATTTTCGTTTTTTACTTGTTCCAGCTTGTTTAAAAATGTTAGCAATCCATCTGAAACGATTAAGTTATAAAACCAGTACAGTATCTTATAGAAACTAGCTGAATATTGACGGACGAGGTAAAAATCGAATGCTTCTTTAGTATATTACACTCCTAGACATAATGGGTTTCAGCTTAGACTCAAAAACTAACAACTAAAAATTTCCGCTTTTTATCAGCTTGATGGAACCTGTGAAAGGGTTTAAAAATCTTTTCACATTTGCATTTCTTTGCCTTTGTAATGGACGTTACTCAAAAGAAAGCTTAAAACGATAATCATGCCGAAACTTTGGTTGCTTTCGGAAAGTAGAAGTTAAGGCGTTGAGAGAAAAAGTTGATAATGTAGCCTCCACGAACCTAAAATTTATCCGCTCAACGACTTCTTCTTCTTTTGTCAGTATTATAGATACATTAAAGTTTTTTCACAGCTGACACGGTTTCTCAAAGGGCAACAGGTCAGATGAGTCGTTTCCTTTTTTCAGACCATTTAAAACTGTGATAAATAATCAGTGAGTTTTTCACGCGGAATCTCCCCTATCTTTTAAATTGATACTGTTCGTCTTCTGTGTAATTGAAACTCAATAATCTTTCTGTGTTTCAAAAGATCCACTTTTGGACTGAAATTCGTCAGTTGTTGTTTCTGGAAATGATTACTGAGTGAATTATAATAACCGGCCTGACAGTTGGTTGGTCACGTGATACAAGCTTTGTTGACTGTTGCCCGTTGCCTTGATTGCTTTCCAGCAAGCTTTTTTTTGCACCAAAAACCAAAACCAAACTAACGGTTTTAAGAGAAGTTTCCACTTAACAGCTTCAAGAACTAATAAACCTGTGGCTGTCGCAGTGTCTCAAACCGACTGGACGCGCTTTCCGGATCGTTTTTAAATTCAGAAGTGTTGGTTTTGTTTTGGTGGCGAAAACAGGAGTGCCGTCAATCCCCGCTTTACCGACACCCTGTTAATACGGACAGTTTGCTTTGTCCCTGGGGAAAAAAGCCCTTACACTTACGCTAAATATGGGCACCCCGTTAATACGGACACTTTCTATATCCCCCTCAGTGCCGTCCGTATTAACGTGGTTTGACTGCACCATGTATGGCGTCGACACCGGAACTCAAACTCATGCATATTGGTGGAAGACGATGGGCCATCTCCCCGTAGATGATATTAGCTACAAAGGGTCGTTTGAAAGTAATTTTAGAGATAAGGTAGGCTGGAATTTTCGGCTATTTCACGAGTGCAAGTGTTCGACGCGACATGTTGGTAAAGAAAAATAATTACCCTTAAAATCTTTATTGTATGTTTCTGTCACGTCATAGTTTCTCTAAGTGAATTTCTGGTGCAATTCAGCGCAAACTGTTTATTTTATTTGGTTTTTAATTTAATAATCGCCAAGCTAGAAAGAGAGACAGGATGCAAAATACGAACAACAGAACAACTTTTATCCATATTAACCGTGTTTTTAGTTTGTCAATCATTATCCCCTATTTCCTGGATGTCAAGCGGAGTCACTTTTAAATGACAAATATGTAGAACTGTTTGTATTTCATTAATACTCACAAAAGTGACTATATTCTTTTAGTCATTTTGACATCCTCTCTGTTTGTTTGAATTGAAAATTCATCACGTTCCACGTAATTAAAGTTTTAGGATGCAATTTGCATTCAAACTCACTGACGTAATATCAGTGAACATACCACTGATATAAATGGTATGCGGGACATGTTTCATAAGACATTTTTATACCAAAAATGTCTCTACAGCAGAAACAAAGCGCGAGTTTTTAAGGAATATATATTTAACCCTTCTATGGTTTTTTCATATCATTATGGTGCCATTTTTACAATGCATTAAATAAAAACTCCTTGTGATCGATGTTACAAGACTCCAGGATACTAGATGATTACCTAAATGAATTCTCTCCATATATTGACAACATGTCTTCACTGATCTATTTTGTATGGTTCTTCTGAATCAAGTGATTGTCTGTTTGACAGTTGGTATGTTATGCTGTATTAAAATTTGCCTGACAGTCATTAGCTACCTGTCTGCCGTCATCGTTATCAAATTAGTTTCTTCCGTGTGAAAATAGGACAGGTGCAAAATACCAGCAGTAACATTATTCCCAGTAAGTACTGGGACGTCCTTTTTCGTCTCACATCATTAATGAGTTCTCGGGATGTTTTCGTGATGACACGAGAACTTATTTGAGCTATTGACTCAGAGGCCATGAGGGCGAGAGGAATAATTGTTTTAGTAAAATCCAACTAGTTGGTCAAAAATATCGAGAATAAAAAGCTTTTAGCTAGTTAAAGCTAGAATTTAATCCTATATTGCCGCCTAAAAGCCCGCGCTTTTCGTTACTAGTGGGCTATAACATATAGCCTAGTAGTAGCTCCACCAATCAGAACGCAGTATTGATAATAATAGACCACTAGTTGGATTTTACTAAGATCCGATATGATCCGATCTGGCGCGAAAGCACTTCCCGGTGTGGTTTTGGTGCCAGCGCAAAAGCTCTCCGCTATAGCAGGAACGTAGCGAGACAGACAGCGGCTTTTATACACGTTCCTTGACTTATTGTTTATCTTTTTAGATGGGTGCCAATATTCTCCTGTTTGTATGCAGCAATATTCTCGGCGCCATTGACTTTTACATAGCGGATAGAAAGCAGAGACGATCTGTTCTGGAAACCCGACAGTCCTTAGAAGTGAAGATCGCTCTAGAATCAGAAAATCTTCAACAGGTGATCTGTCACTTCGTTTATTTTAGTACTCATATTATCTTTGTACATATAATCTTTGTCCATATGCATCAACCAAAACACATATACCACTAAGTGTATCAAATATGTACTAAGTCTATCAAATATGTAGAGAATATTTCATGGCCGTTTGGAGATAAGAAGTTTCTCTTTCCTTGTTGTAAAATATCTCACTTGTTCGCTGCGGTCACGCGAGTCAGCGCCAAGCCGCGCGGCCATGTAATGTTCTATGAATTTTACTACATAAACACCAATAAAATACCAAACCATTTCACTTTAATAGGTTTTTTTTTGCTGCGAAAGCGATTTATTTCGTAACAGTGAACTTTTTATGTGTGAAGATCACATGTTTTCTGGTAGCCTGCGTAGCAAGCGTTTCCGCTTGAGTTAATGGGCGAAAGCTGCAACAAGAGCTAGCTACCTCCATTTTTTTTGCTCTCGCTCCAACTTTCGAGCAATAACTCGAGCGGAAACGCTTGCTACACTGGCTAGTTTTCGCGCGAAAGCTCACCTGGTGTAATATAAATATAGTAAAGATTTATATGATTTAAAGTCAAGTCACATTCCAAGAACGTTTTAAACTCTACATGACTGCCGTGTATCATTTTACATAAGTACAAGTGAGAAGATGTGGTTACAGAAGTTGCGTGTGTTCAGTTGGTCCTACTATAGTTGGCAAAATCCTGTTTCAGCAGAGGGGCTACACATCTCTACTGCGGAAACGTTTTGACAAGACATACACCAGGGGCCCGGTGGGTAGGGAAGATGGTTCCAGGGAAGACATTCATTTTTATCTTTTCTGTCTTTTCAGAGAAGACTTCTACACTCTGTTCTTCCCAAACACGTCGCAACAGAAATGGCGAAAGATAATGCGGCGGAAGGTACAATGGCAAACGATGATCAGATGTTTAGAAACCTCTACATCAAAAGACACGAAGAATGCAGGTAACACGACTGATTATGCCCGCTGTAAAATCCCGAAGGTTTCGTCCACACTTGTACCTTATCGTCTACAAACCCCTACTTAAATTCCCTTCAAGGCCCTTCGTCTACATTGACTTGACGGTAAATGTTGACAAATTATAGTGCGCTCAAATTGTCTCCGAAGTAGTTTAGTTCGTTCACGTTTTCTCTTGTGGACACATAAGCATGTATCTCTGTAAACGCCGACCTCGCTTCGTCTTCTCGTACGAATACACTCTTGTTTACTTGCACTTGCGCATTATGAAATCAATCAGTGAGAATTCGGGTGAAGATATTGTTGCTTATCTAATTCCAAATCTAAATAGATGAAACAAACAATCAATAATTCATTCAGTCAATCAATAATTAACAGTTTCTTCGTCTACCATTCCGGCTCGAACAGGAATTTGGAAATGTGGTTTTTAAGGATAGGGGAAAATCGGAGTAAAAAACATCTTGGAAAGAAGGGAGAGAACCGACAACAAAACAAATTCAACACACATATGTTGCCTCTTACCCGCGGACGGTTTTCATGGTTCTTGTGGGGCCGTGCACGTTTGTAAAGGTTGCGGGGCGGGGGGGAGCATTTTCCTGAAGCAACTGAGGGTTATTTTTGAATACTGAGGCAGAAGTTTCTTGAGCCAGACACTCGAAAAAGAATCGGTAATCTCGTCCCGTTTGGCGAGTGAAAACTATTTGGGCTATAGATACGCCTTCTAATTTCCGCCGTTTGTCCTTTTCAGCATTTTGTTCGCGGATATTGTTGGATTTACCGAACTCTCATCTAAATGTACTGCAGAAGAACTGATTATTACTCTAAACGAACTGTTTGCAAACTTTGACAAGATTGGAACGGTAAGTTAATGAAAGCAGGTTATCGTCATATTCCCCCATCGTGGTACAAGGGGGGTGGGAGGTGGGAGGTAAGTGTAAAGAGGTCAGTTTAATTAAAAAACCTCCTATGTTTGTAACTTCGTCGCGCACTCCATTGTTAGGTGACCAATTTTTTATTATTTCTATTTCAGAAAAATAGGTGCCAAAGAATTAAAATTCTTGGAGACTGTTACTATTGCATCGCAGGCCTGGACGACAACAAAATGCATGCACAGTGTGCTGTGGAGATGGGAAGAGATATGATCGCTCACATTGCGTAAGTTGCTATTGAAACAGAATAAAACTTTCACTTGCAGATAATTTGATTCAGAAAATGATATATAAAAAGGTGTTCGAATAAACTAGTATTTTCATGTTTTTGCTGTTTGTGAGATGAATAAGCAGCTAAAAGTCATTAAAAAGTCGATTTTCACGGTTTTCCAACATTTTTTTTTGTCGTGTAACCACAGAGTCAATTTTTTTAAAACAGTAATTGTAACTCACAACGAAGAGATTTTAGTAACGCTGTGTATCCTTTTTTGCAGTAAAGTGCGCAGGCAAACTGGGGTGAAAACTCTAGACATGCGCGTTGGTATCCACACTGGGTCTGTGCTTGCGGGGGTGCTGGGTAAGATAAAGTGGCAGTTTGATGCTTGGTCAAATGACGTCACACTGGCGAACAGTATGGAGTCTGGAGGCATTCCGGGGTGGGTATAGGAATTCACGTTTCATAAAGCCGTAAGTAAAACTTCCACCACCCTCCAAGAGCTATACCTTGAGTCGTCTTGGGTTAGTTTGAGTACTTTATTCTCACGTTATTTCGCGAGTATTAATTTCGCAAAACATCGTGGGCCATCTTTGGAGAGTATTTAATTTCACGATTTTTACACGATTTTTTTGTTTTAGGGAAGGTAAAATTCGAGTGTATCAATTTTCGCGGTTTTTTCTATTCTTTAATATGTAAAGGCAACTTTAGCCTCAAAACAGTAACAACACAAATAATAATTTTATCGTAAACAACAGCAAGCAAAGATAATAGGGACTTTAAGATCCAGCGACGCGACGGCAATGAGAACGTCGCTTAAAGAGTGAATTTGCGTTCTTTCAGTCTATATCGCAATTATTCCTACACACTTACTTTGTCAAATGTAGGCCAACCCTCCTGGAATTGAATTCCTAGGCACCATATCCAAGTACAGTAAGAGAAATAAAATTTCGTCGTTGCTTGATTACGTCCTCGGTAAAACGCGAAATTTATTAGGCATGTTCACGTCCTAGTTGTGCAAAAACGGGCAGAGAAATGTACAAAAACGCGTGATGCACGTGCAAAGTTGTTGTTTTGCTAATCAAACCTATTCTCGTTACCGTACGCGTCGTTGGATCTTAGGGCCTGTTTACATAGAGTTGGGGGACCCCAGGTAGGTGAGGTAACCCGCTTAGGTTGGGTAACCCGTTTGTCCATATAATCTCTCATTTTAATTTGATCACGTTTACATGATAGGTGGGGTGACCCGCCATATTTTACCTCACCTACCTGTGGTCCCCCACCTCCTTGTAAACAGGCCCTTAAAGTCCCTAATTACAAACAACCAACAGATGAAAAGTTTGATCCCCCTCTTCACAAGCGAGATTTTGAAGAATTTAGCAGCAGAGGGCAGTTCGGACAGCGAAAGTGATGCGGTGGAAGGCTGATGGGCAAAATCAAGCAAAAAACTACTAAACTTGAAACTGAGACATGTTGGAATAACTGATAAAGCAACTGCTCGAATTTCGTTATTGTATGGATATGTATATGTCTGGTATTAAATTTCGTTTTTAATCTTCGCGAGTATTGAATTTTGGTCCAGTTTCGAATTTCATAATTACCGCCGAATACAAACATTAACGACCCATTCATACAAGGTTAGCCTCGATGTAAAGTAAAATGTTCAGAAATTCCGGCAAGTTGGTGTTTGAAATTTGAATAGATGTATACCAGAAACTCATAAGTTTCTGAATATACACAATAGACAGAGTAATGAACAGGTCTTTTTCTCGTTGGAATTTGTGAATATATTACTTCAGATGGTGGCTAAACCTGTAAAAAATGCGTCTTCACTTCTTTAATTCAGCGGTCTTTTCCAACTCGAAACTGGACTATTATCAAACCGATAGGTGTTCCCTTTCCTCATAATGTACAAAGTGGTTTTAACCAATTTTAACGTTAGAGTTTCAGCCGCGTCGCCGATAAGACCTTGGGGAAGATATGCCCCTGGGGCTTGAGTTCTGTGCAGATTAGTTCAATCAAATGGAAACCAATTACTTATTAAAGCTGCAGATTTCATAAAAATTTGTATACATGTTGCTTCGCGCATAAAAGTTTAAATATCTCAAATTCGATATATATAAAATTAGACGAACGCTACTAACTATTTTGGATGTATATGTACATCCTTGACGTAAAACATGATACCCCTCTTTTTCAATTACGGCTACTGTAGAGGATACGAAAATATGCATTGTCCACTGACCGTGTTCTTCCTTCATAGCCGTGTTCACATATCAGAATCAACATATAACTGCGTTAAAGTGGATTATGAAGTCGAGCCTGGGGAAGGTCACACAAGAAATGACTTCATTAAAGAAAAGGGCATCAAAACGTATTTGATAGTAAGACGGATTAACCATGGAGACGATAACAAGATTTCCGCTGGTGAAAGTCAGGTGTGTGCAAGAGTCCATTTCCCCGAAAAGATGTATTTAATTCAGTTAAATGACATCAACCTTTCAGTCTATTTATAGAATTATTTTCAAACTCGTTGTTTTCACAAATCTCCTTGCTAAATTTATCATGATATGGCGGTCGATGTTCTGAAGGGGAGCTCGTTGGTCCTGACTTCCAAATGTTGAACTTGGTTCGCTTGTCACTTCGCTGCAGGATGCACCGCCATTGGTGGAAATCCTACCTAATTCTGATTGAATTCACCAGAGATGACTCTATCATGGCTATAGAACCTAATACAAAGTGTACCAGGCTGCTTTGCTCACTTAAGCAAGTTACTTAAGAGATGGAGGCAAAACGTTTATGTGATTTTTCTAGTATATAGCTGAACAAATAGGTAACAACATTGCTTCTTGGTAACTGTCAGTTATGCCATCATATATTCTTCGCTGGTGGATTTTATTCGTTCTTTAGCGGTGGCAGATCCAGACCTTCTGATAAGGGGGGGGGGGGGGGGTGGGGGTGGTCATACATGTGTGTTTACATGTTTTTTATTTGGATCCTGAGATAAGGGGGGAAGCTGCCCCCCCGGGCCCCTCCCCTGAATCCGCCACTGTTTAGTTTTCTCACCTTAGCGTGATGGTAAAATCGACAAAAAAAAATGTTTAGAACCAGCTCTGTAAGGAACAGGATCGAACGACAACTTGGGACAGTTAATAGGGTGCTGAAGCGCTTTTTGAGCAACGTATGTCAACCGGAAGTGGACTTTTTGTACTTGGGCAGCTTTTTTTCTCCATACTTTCGGGCAGATCGTCTCTGTAAGGGTATAGAGAAACTTAACAATACCCATTTAATAGCGTCAAGAAAAATGGCTACACTTCCGGTTAACGTACGTCGCTCAAAAACGCCTTTGCTTAAGTTCCCTACTATGAGACATATGTATACCTTTTCATTATCCTACCGGTCAGTTTACACGTCGTTGGACTAAAAACAGTAGAGGGGACTAGGATGAGTCGGTATAATTGTTATTTATTAAAAAAAACTGAATCATTGGATAATGCAATTCTAGAGCTCTGATTGGCTTAGCCATCATGGTATATGAGCCATTATACCATGCTCTCCAAATATGGTAACTGTACTTGTCTGTCCAAAATTAAAAACAAGCTTAAAATCGATTGTTTTTACCAATAAAGTCGGGAAGAATTCACGATATTTTCTGGGCGTTTTTAATAAAACAATTGTTCCACTCGTGCTTGTTGGATGTGAGATGATTATAGCCAACTCATATCCAACGCGCACTCGTGGAATAATGGATAATTATTGACTTTCAGGAAAGTGTAGACTCTATGTGGTTAACAGAACCCTCATCAAATGACGCCGTCAGACGCACGTCATCGCCGATCATGGAGATCATCAACGCAGCTTCTCAGTGGGAAGGAGACAAAGACAGCATTATTAACAAGGACCAACTGGAGTTCAGAAGGGTGTCAATGTTTGATGTGAGTACATTAACAATGATCTGAGACTGATGCTTACCAAGAAACCACCTAATCCTCTCCCAGGGGTTCCCTGCACTGAACGGCAAAGATTGGGGACGATTGGTGCAAAGGGGAAAAGGAATCATTTAGCACAGGATACCCAATCCTGGAAAATTAGGCGGGGTGGGTACCGGTTACCCGTGGAATTAGCCTGCTGGAAGCTACCGATCTGGTTGGTATCGTGGTTTTGGGTGGTAACGCCGCCAGCACTACTAGAGAGCTTACATTTAGGCTTACATTCAGAGAAAGCCAAGTTTAATTATGATTACGGGATGTCCTCCTTTTCCCTATAAGTTTCACACTCGCTCCAGGCTTTTCGTCAAGGAAATCAAGGTGCTAGTCTGCTAGATTCAAAGAAAACAGTAGCTTTTTGTCAGCTATTCTGGTTTGTCTTATGAGATTCAAAAGGATAAGAAGCGTACGTTTCAGGCACTAATCCTTCCGATCGAATCCATGTTTTGAAGCAATGAAAGATAATATATAGGTTTAGCCAAGAGGAGGGGGCTAAACGCAAAGCTCCCTGTAATAAATCTTAAATTCACTTCAAACAATAAACTTGTAACCATTGCAAAGAAATCCACTTGGAATTAAGCCTGCGATCAGTTGAAAACAAGTAACTAGTCAGCGGAGAGCTTAAAAAAAAACACGCACCCTAGATGAGTTGACCACAGAGCCCTCGATACGGTCATGTGATACTGGTCAGTGGATACCCTTTTTTGACAGCTATCAAATGATCACAATAAACTTGGATGTACAATATCAGGTTGCAGGCTCCCACATTAGATAGAAAGTGTGATATTTCACATTGTTTTTTCTGTAATGTGGACGGACGGGCAGACGTATGGATAGATGTAACCAATTTAGCTCAATTTTTTTTAGGTATAGGGCTCCTCTGACGCGAGCGAAGAGCCCAAGAATTCGTTCAGTTCTTTCTGACGGGGGCCGGGGAATGCTAATCCTGGCCATAGGGATTCATGTAAAACTAAAAATAAAGGCAGCGAACCTGTTTGTTAAATTTATGTCAACTTCTATTTTTCCTTCAGGATGACTCAGAAAAATCAGATGCCCCCATCACGATAAGGTTGGTTTGTCAAACTTTTTAAACTCCAAGCTAAGTCAAGTTAAAAATCCTTTTGCATGACCAACCGTCTAACATATATATTCACCTTCGCTTATCCTATAGTTGGAGTTTTAGCCTGTTAGGGATCCGGACTTTGCTAGTAACTCCTCGTGAGAAATCGGCGCCCAAGCCCAACACTGTAGCCTGCTTACAGGCTGCTTCTGGAATTTTTCCCCCGCCAGAAAGTGCGCGCTGTCTTATTTGGCAAGTGGCCTCTGAAACTGAAAGTGTTTTCCACCAAGTCTGATTGGAATTCATTAAATTCTGTGATGACAGAGGGTTAAAATACACTGTGCGAATGTTAACCCCTACTTTGGAAGGATCAGTTATTACTTATGAAGTGTTTATATTTCCAATATTTCTGTTTGTTTTCCTTTACAGCGAAAGAACACTAAATAAACTATTATCCGATGTACTCGATGAAAGAGCAGGAGGGTTCGTAAGCTCCAGTTTTTTGTTCTTAACTTATGTCAGCAATTTGCACGTACACTCAAAAGTGTTAAAAATTATTTTTCTTTAGGGCAAAGGAAAAAATGAACCCGTTTACTCTTCGATTTACAGATGCTGATAGCGAGTTCCAGGTAACATAAACTCTCTAGATAAAGAAATTCGAAGTCCTGCGTGTTCAAAACATAAGGGTTGATTTCCATTGTCGCGTAATTTTTACGTGCGTACATGCGTAAAATTTACGCTCGCAAATAAAATAGAGGCAATGTATGAAAGGTCGCGCGTAAACCAAGAGAGGAAAAGGGGACAGAAAAGGCATCCCCCATACACACCCTATTCCATAGGTAATTCGTCCCGAGTTATTTTTAAGACCGCAGATCCCAAGGGGGATTAGACAACAGCCAATCACATAGCGCGAATGTGTTCCGCGTGGATGACCCACGCTCAGAGCCACGCGTCCTTCACGAATTGACGCAGAACAAAATGGCGGAAGACGCGGTGAGCGATATTGCTATTCGTTTTGTCGACGCAAACGACCTACAAAGAGATTTCTGCCAAAGCTGGGTCAGCGAAACGGAAATTAAAAAAGAATCTCCCTTCCTCTCTTGTATATTCATAGAGCTAACAGTACAGCAGGGAAATCCTTAACACACTGAATATTCTCTCAGGATCATTTATAATTTACAGTTTGAAGGGAGCAATTTCTGGTTTGATATTTATTCTTTTATTAGTCTTTTATTATTCAACAAAAATAACACTTGGCGTCCTACTTGCTTTATTGTACAAACGACCGGTTTCAATACACCGGCGAAATTTCTCATTTTATTAAAGCACTGAGGTTACGACAACTTCGAGTTAAGCTGATTTCGCGGGTTGTCAAAGAGTGTAGGGATTCCCTTTTCCCAGGTGAGCGCCGACTCATTTCGCGTCACTATTCAGGAATGCTCTCGATCTCTTTGTGCTTTCATTGCCTTTCGCCCGACATGTTTTGCACGGCGTTTAGTCATTCGAAACATCCACGCAGCGCGCGAGGTAACTTTATCCCGATTCTAAAAATAACTCGAGACGAATTACCTATGGAATAGGGTGTGTATGGGGTACGCCTTCTCTGTCCCCTTTATCCTCTCTTACGTAATCGTAAAAGTAGAACCTCGCTCAACTTCACGTTTAATCTGAACACTTTATATCTTGCGTCTATTTTATTTTTGTGATTAAAATTTTACGTGCGTTAACGTGCGTAGCCAGAAACGCGTCAGTGGAAATCAACCTTTAAGGAAGAGAATGTTGTAAAAGAAAAAGAGAAAAAGATCTGGGAATTTAAAAAAAAAAAAATTCCCTGCTCCCGGCGGGGTTCGAACCCGCGACCTTCGCATCTCTTCAGCACCCTCGGCGGCTATGGCCAGTACTGCTTATAAGTACGACGCTCTAACCGACTGTGCTACGGGAGCTAGGTATTGATCTGCTGCTATCGTTTTTGTTTTACAAAGGTTTTTTGTTGAAAAGAAAACAAAAACAGATCGAATATAGGCTCGAGCTGATGAAAGTTTGGTACAGGCTCCGTGACTAAGTAGTTCGTCATGCAGCTATTTTGTCAGTTTTTAACGCTCATACGGTCTTCGCGATAAGACCGCAAGGTCATGTGGATAGCTGTAAAAAGCTGGAACTGACATTTCGCGGTTGTCAGTAAGACAGAATGGTGTAAAAGTTCTCAAACGTTTACTTTTGCGATTTTACGACAGAAAAACATTGCTTTATGATTCAGTTTGGTAATTTTTTTAGGCGTTTATTAAAATAAAATTACCCATTTTCGTTGCGTCTCGTCTCGTATGCTTTCCGCGATCGGACAAGGTTAATCAGGTTAATTGAAATAGCTGTATATTAAAGGCCATAATAAAATCCCATTAGCATAATTTTATTTAATTTCCCACCTGTTAAACTGGTACTAGCAGCGCCTTATCATTTTTTGTTTTGCCATAACAAGCAAAAATTATGCTGACAAAGAACAAGTAAACATACTGCATGAAACTGGACCAAGCCATGGCTCAAGTCTGAAATGAAAATTTGAAAAATTGAAATAGTTCGCAAAAATGTTTTAATTTGTTTTTCTTTTCACTGACAGTATGCCATGGAAAAACAAGAAATGAGTGGAGAGTCACTTGTTTGTCTTTGTGTTGTCATTGTTTTCTGTTTCTTCGTGGAGCTTCTAATATTCCCAAGGTGAATACAAGTTTCATTTATTTGCTCGTTTTCCGCAGTGATCGGAGCATTTATTATTAGCTAGACGGACGCAACATAAGAAAGAAGATTTATGTCCTCTTCATGATTCCCCGCCATCTCTTTGTTCAAGCGATACACCAACGCTTGAGGACAGACTACTGACTTAATTTATAGGATGTCAAAGCGACAGAGGTTAACAGGGGCAGGGGGAGGGCGATAAGTCTCGAGGGATAGGTGGAGATAGGAAGTATGGGCGTGGTAGGGAGACGAGTTAGAAGACAAATGAAGGTACGACGAAGAGGAAAGACAGACGAAAGCATGCGGGATAAGGGGAACAAGGCGATTAAGGTCGAGGGTGATAGGGGGAGAGGAAATCAGGAATAGAGGAAAGGTCGATATAGGAAGGAAGGGTTGAAAAGTAGACGGCGGAGATGTGCAGGGGGTAAAAGTAGGCGCTGAGGATAGGAACAAACGGGATAGGGAAGGTCGGACAAAGGAATCAAGGAACAGGGAAACAGAAGGAGTGCCGAGACCCGGACGCGGAGGGAGAATTCTAAGAAAAGAGTAGTTTAAGGGATACAACAGACAGAGAACTGATCACAAAGGATACCCCGCAAAAATGAACTCTCCGTTATTACAGACATGAGAGTGTACACCCTGTCAAAAGATTCATCCCATTATTGTTTACCAAACCAGTGAATAGCCATTTTCTGTCCTTGGCTGTTACAAACTGTAGCCAGTTAATGCAGATATCAAAGAGGTCTCCTACAGTGCATAAAACTGGGTTTTTTTGGGGTGTGAAATCTCGCAATTGTGTAGAAAAAAATTTTCATCCCTTATTGCTGCTTAACGGCCATCAATCGACGACAAATAAATCTATCCATCCATTTTCTCCTATGTGTTTATTTACCAGCCTTTTATTTTTCCCTCAATTCAGGAGCTTGAGAAATGATTTGACATTCTCTGTGGGAGTGGTTTTGCTGTTTATACCAACAGTCATTACATGCGCTGCGAGCTTTCCAAAGGTAAGAGACAAAGAAGTATCAATGAATGGACACTCAGTTTTTTGTTCCCCTTCAAAGGCCGTAGGCATTTTTCTATTTTTTTTTTCAGAAATTATTAAGATAAATTATGAGTGGGCCCCAATTTTCCCCCTTTTTGATGGGAATGTTGATTTTCTGGCCCAGACTGAATATTCTTATTTTTTTGCCGTTTTTAGGCTGAAATATTCCTGTATTATTCTTAAAAAAGAAAGAAGTTATCATGATACTCTCTGCAGATTTGTTCATTTCTTTTGTGCTGTTTTCACGTTACAAGTACATGCACAGTTCATCGAACTGTCATTAGCATTGAAAATTTGGCTATAGCTGGTGCAGGTTTTTTCAGTTTGTTTCGCTATTTTTGCCGTTTGGAGAAAGGAATAGTTTTATACCGTGTTAAGTTAAAAGCGTGCACTGCCTTGATTTACAGATTTTCAACACACAAAATTATATCCTTTTCAAAATCTCAGCGTTGGCTTTATTTCTAAAATATTCTTAAAATTTTACAAATTTCAGCCTCGATATTGTAATAGAACATATTCATAGAAAGAAAATAGAGTCATTACGTGTTTCGAAACGTGTATTAAGTCGCAACGGTGTTCATTAGTTTGACTTTTGAGAAATTTCTACCTGACTGAACAAGCCACTGCAACAAAATGATTTGTACTCATTGACAATCTTATAATTAATTTATGCTTCCTTGTTCTAGTACTTTCCTCAGCGTCTGGTTGAGCTTTCAAATGTTCTTTATGGCAGTAAGCCAGCTCGGACCCTGGTAGCTGCTCTGTCTGTAACCGTATTGGCTGCTACTGAGTTGATTGACATGGTGAGCTACATTGCCTCGTTCTCTTCAAACCAGGATAACTTATTATAAAATCTCTTATTTAGAAAATCCAATCAGTGAAGGAAACTTATATTGTGACTCAACTTCGTGGTTTTATTTCTTGGCTTTAGCTTGGTTGTGAACCTGTACTAACAGAAGAAGAGTACAACAAATCAAAGCCTTTGGATCCCTCCAGTCCCGCCTGCGAATACCCACAGGTATACTAGTTTCTGTAATATATATATTTAAATTTATCGTTACCCTTTTTCTATATTAAAAAGAAAAATAAAACTAACAGTTGAACCTCCACGTGCGACCACCTTTTGTAAGCGACCGGCCCTCCTGCAAGCGACCATCTATCCAAAACAGTTGCGTTTTCCCAGTTAAAACTTGACCGTTGGAACCTCTCGAAAACGATTACCTTCTTAAGAGACCGCAACCACGTTTCGGGGCTGACGGTTTTATAATTTTCCACTGTTTTTAACGTCTTGTAAAACTTAACGAATGGCCTGATATCTGCAGCAGCGCACATGTACAGCTAAAACTGGAAAGGAAAAATCTTGTATTGCCTGAAAAAAACATTTTTTTATCGTTAAATCGCGTTCGCTGATGCATTTTTCGCACTATATTGGTTTGTTCTTTTGTGTCAGTATTTCCTTGATCCTTTTATTATTCCATAATTCTGAAGACGTCACAGGCCGTTTTCCCTCGTAAACAATGTACCTTACCCGTCAACACTAGAGATGGGTAAAATAAACAACTGACTACTGCATTTTCCTGCGTATTGAGATTTACTGAAAATGTCCTGCGTAAAACGCTGGAGATGACATTTTCGAGACCTTGGATTTAAAAATTTTCTGGGGAAGCAACCTGATTTTTAGAAATAAGAAAAGCATAAGAAAGCAATATGTACCTCCAGCGAAATAATAGTTCAATTACTGACTGAGAAACTAAAAGCGGTACTACTGCTTCAAATGAATTTCCTTCAGGGGGATTTGAAAAGTTCTCAATCACGCAGAAGGTTATTACGGCTTCTTTTTTACCCGTCAAATTCTTAGCGATGTTTTCTGTGTTTGTCCCCAGTATTTCCCGTACAATGGTATTCTGATTCTTCTGGGGATCTCGGTTCTAGTTCAGCTCAGCCACTCTATGAAAGTTGTCTTGACATTTGGAGTAGTGTTGGCTTATTGGATTATCAACACTTCTGTCAAGCACCAGAGCTTCGACAATTATGATCATTACGTGCACTTTGATCACAAGTAAGCGCTCTCTCATTTATTATTCAGAACTGAAGGCCAGAGCCTTCATTGGCTACTGATAAGGATCACAATTAATTAGTCTTTATGTCAGGAGCCCATAACCTGAAGCAACTTCCATGTGCTCGTATCGCGCCTTTTTCACGGACCAGTTTATTCTTAGAATGGTTTTGGCGCGAATTTTGAATATCTTTTAAATTCCACAAACCAGTCAACAACGTTTAGTTTTCCTTTTTGATATCTTATACTTCGAATGCGCCCATAGACATGGTGGAGATTCTGTTTTCGCGGGAGAAAGTGCCCAAAAATGTGTCTGAAAATAAAATGGTCCGTAAAAACGCCGTGACATAGGCCTAGTATGGGAGTTGCTCGCTCTGGGTTATGGGCTCCTGTTTATGTCTGTTTTTAGATTTCTTTACCCGCGGGAGTCCTCACAAACCAGTATGGCCTGTTCCTCCAAAGTCTCTTCAATCCGCACTTCCAAAGTTTCACAACCGCTTTGATTTGCTTTTCTCGTCCGCCATGGTTGGAAATCCTAACATGATTTGCTGAAAACCTAACACGATAAACTTAAACTCTCAATGGAAGAAAGCAAG